TTAATAATAAGGTAATCGAAAACTTTGCTACCAAAAAAGAAAGAAGAATGGACTTCATGTATAGAAAACTTTGAAGTTATAGGTACTTCTCCACACTTGTTTTATAATTTGGTGCGCGTGTGTAAATAGTTTTATTTTTGATTTTTTTTTGGACATATAGATTTATTGAACCTCAAGAACTTTGACCACTAACTATCAGGGGTAAGTTATAAGTTATTCTTTACAATTTTGAATCGATTCAAAATTATGGCTTCCATTCTGGCACTACCTCACTGAATTGGCACGAGCCGCCACTGCTGTCTGCTAATCCATGGCCTGTCTATAACTTGCAAAGTACTGTATTCAAAATCGGTCCATTAGCGGCGGAAAATAACCAAAAACAAAACAAAAAATATAAAAACCCCGCAAACTTTATTTCTTCTCTTTTCAGAGGCTCATGATTATTTTAGGAAAATTTTTTGTTGGGGTAAGGGGTATGGCCGTTGATATATTGACTTATTCTAAAGAGACAACTTTTCCATCTGATCGATTATACAGTGAAACAAACAACCTAGGCATTTAATAAATACCATGTTTTGAAGTTATCATCAAATATTACTGTGACAAACAGGACTTTATGCTGACAACAAACCCACACCCTACACGGCAAAAACATCACTATGTCGTGCAGTTTTTTCCAAAATTGTGTTCATATTGCTCCCAAGCGGTACAACACTCTTCCTTAAAATCAACAACTTGGCGCTGTTGAATGACGAAACTGAAAGTTATATCGACATGAAAAGTTTGGAGTTCCAGTGAATTTGTAGGATCAAGAGATAAGCTTCTGAAGCCATGTTTTCTAAAAGTCGATATATTTATACATATTATTTTATCTCTGCCACATCTGCCGTAATTGAAATATTGAAATCCAAATATTGACCGCAAAGTTTTTGCAGATTGTCGCCTACAGACTTTCAAGTATACGGTTACCCCTTGTACATTATCGTAAATTAGTGTTACAATATAGTGATTGGAGAGTAAAACCTATGTTTTTGTCACAATACATATGCATTTGTTAAAAACAGATCACTCGTTACGTAGTTGGGTAATAGAAATGTCACCTCACAAGTTACGATGTTTCAGCTTAATATTTGCAACAATCCGCGCAAATTTTATCCATCCATATGCAGCAATATGCATTCAACATAAGGCACCTTCAAATATCAGGTTTCTGTTGATACGTTATTCTCTTTTTGCCAATTTTCCAATGAAATCAGTATGTGTCAAATAGCTGAAAGGCCGATTAAAACCGAAACGTACTTTCTAAGTGCCGCTTGACATGGAATGAAAACCATGAAATTACCATACAGCAAACCTGGCGATAATCAACCCCTGTTCTCAAACCTTTAAATTCAATTTAAAATTACCTTTCCTGGTCGTCGTCAGCTTTAGCCTAAACACCTTTTGGATCATAAATTGTCAAGCAAGGGTTCCATTATATTTTATGTCAGCACAGTCACGAAACGCTACATGAAACGTAAAGTTGAAGATATAAATTACAAAAATATTCATGTGAGCCATGTTCCCATTTACATAAAGTATTTTTACTCAGTTCCTGTTGTCAGTGAAGACAAGTAGGTCTTAATCAGTACGAGGAAAACTGTGAGGAATTGTATATGTTAGGCTTAAAGACAGCAGACAACCTTTGCTACCTGCAGTATTGACAACCATGTATCTATCTCTAAGACCACTGTTTAAACTATACTCCGAACGTTTACCCGAGACTCCATTTGCTGTTGATATACAACGATGCTCTCTAATTTAGCTGAAGAGAACACTATTCGCCGATTCGCCGTCTTACATGATGGGAACCGTTTTCTGCACTGTGGATTGCGTTTACTTTGATTTATCTGAATGGAAACTCGCGCTCGCATTGGACATGGCAGGATTATATGGAGCTGGAAATTTGTTTGAAGGAATAAAATTTAGCACTGTATTTACATTGGAGGTGCTGTTCAAATAATTGTTTTTCACAGAACATAGAAATACAAATTAAAGTGAGAAAAGTGTTGATATACAAGGTGTCCCGAAAAAAGTGAGCAATATTCTACCAGCGGTCTCTAGAGCTTAAAATAGGAAGAAAAGTGTATATAAACATAGGTCGACAAACGTCCCCTAAGGGCGTTACGGTCTTTTAAAGGGGCTCCCCTGAAGATGGTTTTTCCTTAATATTTCCGAAACGTGTTGAGATAAAGACATAAAATTTGGTACTCTAGTTTTTTATGCTGGATTTAAAAATATTAACAATTTTAAACAGCTTTGTTTGGAAGCGTATGTAACAGGGACGGACTCAGGTTATTTTAGCCCCAAAATTTTTGTGTGATTCTATTTTTGAAATTCAATTTTAGAATTTGAAAATCTAGGGTTTTCTACATAAAAAAGGTACTCTTATTGAATATCGATAAATTGTGCCATTTTTGAATAAAATCAAACTAAAAAATTTGTCGCATGATAGTAAATGTATTGCGAATTTAAATGAATTGTTGAATAATTAGCCATGGCAACGAAAAAACTAATTTGATAAATGGTGAATATTACATAAATACATATTTCTATTGCAACATAGGCAAAAACAAAAGAAACCATGTTTCTACGAACGAAATTAAAATTTGTTTAAAAAAGACGACATACAGTTGGACATACCTAAAACTAGCTTTACAATAAGTGTTCAAATAAATTCCCATTTTGTTAGATACAGAGTCTCGCTCGATGAACGTAGCCCGAAAAGTGGAAAACCCTTTTCTTCTTATTCCATTTGCAGCCTGATGGATTCTTTGAAGTAAATTTTCTTGAGTATTTACTTCAGTCGAGCAAACTAGGTCTTTTAATGACCCTCAAAAATAGAAATCCAATGGATTTAGGTCAGATGAACGTGTCTGCCACGCTATAGGACCTCCTCGACCTAACCACCTGTCTGGAAAATTAACATTCAACCAATTTCGAACAATGCGTCCAAAATGTGCAGGGACGCGATCCTGTTGAAAAAACATATTTTCTTGAAACAGCTGGCGTACATCCAATGGTATTATATCCATGAGCTCATTCTGAAGAAAGTTCAGATACACCTCTGAATTAAGATGATTGGGAAGTACAATAGGCCCAATTTCTTGATCCCCAATTACTCCTGCCCATAAGTTCAATGAAAATCTGTTGGAAATTTGTACGGTGAACAAATTTTGGATCTTCATCTGACTTGGATCTTCATCTGACCAGTGATGCATGTTATGGAAATTAAAAGCACCATTCCTAGTAAATTTTGACTCATCCGATTATAGTATTCTAGGAATAGTGTTTTCATTTGCTAATATCCACTGGCAAAACTCGATTGGTGGTAAAATATCTCCCTCCGTTAAATGCTGCACCCGTTTAAAATGATAAGGATGTAATCCTTGCATTCTTGTTATTCTATATAAAATTATTATTTTTAGGATAACTATCCAATAGGCATTCATAAATTTTTCTTTCTATTGATCGAGGTATATCCATAATCGTATGCTTATTTGCGGATTACTTTCAAACATATTTAAAGCAATATCCATACGATGATTTCCCAGTGGCCTTCCTGAGCCCTGCATGCGCTGAAAACTTCCATGGTTTGACAAATTCCGGTGAATATCAGTAAACATTCGACGTCCAGGTACTATGCGATTGAAAAATCTTGTTTGATATTCTCTTACGGCTGCCAATGAACTGCCATTGCAAAAACCATACACAAAATGCATGTCAGTCAGTTCTCTGGCTGTAAATCTTGGCATTTTAAATCGATTTAATAAAATTTTTGATTTTATTCTAGTAATTTTACATTGCTAACAATGGCAGTTTAACGTCAAAATAAGTCATAACAAATCAAAATAACTTTTGTTTGCAGTCATGGCTAACTATGTATAATCAACAATTCATTCAAATTCGCAGTACATTTCCTATCATGTGGCAAATTTTTTAGTTTGATTTTATTCAAAAATGGCACAATTTATCGATATTCCATAAGAGTATCTTTTTTATGTAGAAAACCCTAAATTTTCAAATTCTAAAATAGAATTTCAAAAATAGAATCACAAAAAAATGTTGGGGCGTCCCTGTTACATACGCTTCCAAACAAGACTGTCTAAAATTGTTAATATTTTTAAATCCAGCATAAAAAGCCAAATTTTCTGTCTTTATCTCAACACGTTTCGGAAATATTAGGGAAAAACCATCTCCAGGGGAGCCCCTTTAAAAGACCGTAGCGCCGTTAGGGGACGTTTGCCGATATATGTTTAAACAAACTTTTCTTCCTATTTTAAGCTCTAGAAACCGCTGGTAGAATATTGCACACTTTTTTCGGGACACCCTGTATAGCTAGGCTCGCATATCCACACATGTATACCGTAAGAATGGATTTCCATCTAATGATTGAATGGTTTATTGTAATATTTTAGCTCTAATTTCTTAGAGTACAAAACACATCCATAACCTACTTCTATACTAAGAGAGACAGTCTTAAAAAATATGTGAGGTGATACTTCTAGCTGCTTTTTTGCTAAATAATAGCTAAATGCTAGCTGTCTGTCCAGACAACAATTTTGATTTGCCAGTGTCATTGCTACTGAACACTAGCTAAGAGCTAAGGAATACGAGATTAATCTTTATGTAGGGCTTGCGAGTAGGAAATTTGGACAGTTTACTACTTGTTTGCTACTGCTCACTTCTTCGACAATAGTCCAGGTAGTAGGGTAGAGTAGGGTAAATCGTACCGATTTTTAAATAATTGACCACTGTACTCAGAAATTAAACTCTTTAGCATTCATATTAGCACACAAGCAAATATAAACATTTATTTTCTCCTTAATCAAGAGTTTAACTAAATCAAACAACATCTTAAGCAAAAAAAATACAAAAATAAAAATGCTTGCAAACGGTACGATTAAGCGAACAGGTTGGTTTAATCGTACCGTCGGTTTTTAAATCGTACCACTAATTTTTTATTTACAGTTCTCACACACATATTTTTTTATTTGCTTTTTAGTTCCTGCACATGATGTGTGGGCCCATTTCTCACATTTCATACATTTCACCATATCCTCAATAATGTTCTCTTCACATATATGGCAGTACCATTCAGTAGTATCATATTCAATTTGAGCATTTACTACATCAGATTTTGAAGTGGAAGATTGGTCGTCACGTGCTTCGAAAAGGGAAGTAGAAGAAAGCCCGAGATTTTTCTTTACTTTTTTAATTGAGTTCTGCCTTTGAATACGCTTGCTCTCCAATTCATCTTTATAGGGCGTACTGCTTAAAATGACGGCTGGTTGAGACAATTTTCTTTTCTTAGCATTACCTTTATTCTCAGGTAAAGGATAAATTTCTTCAATGGAGGTATTCAGATCTGTTGAGTTGCAATTGTTGTTTAGTTCAGTACTATTACTTTTAACTGGTCGCTCAGTAGCTTCGTCTTCAGGCTCAATAGTCGTTTCACGTGGTTTTATTGCCCCTAAATCCTCCCTTGCTGTTTCTGAATCATTTTCAAGCAAGGCGCTAGCAGCGATAAAATCTGCATCAGAAAATACAGTACGGCCAACCGGCCATATTCCAGTTCTTTTAAAACCACCCATTATGTTGCTTATTGATGCAGTTTTTGCATAGGCATCAGAGAGCAATCCAGTCATGTTATATTGAGTAACAGTGTTACCAGGATTGCTTCTCAAAAATGTTTCAATACCTTGAGAAAAATAGAATTCCATAGGTTTAAAAAAGCTTACGTCTAATGGCTGTAACCGATTTGTAGTATGGCCAGGAAGTTGCAGTAGTACAATTCCATGCATTTTTGCTAAAATGAGTGCTTCCAGATTTTTTGTGTGCGTTGTGTGGCCATCCAGCAAAAGCAAAACTTTTTTTTCGGTACTTGGTTTTACGTACTCAATGAAGTGCTTTAACCATTTAACAAAAAGTTCGCTATTTATATATCCAGTATCTGAAATTGTAACAATAGTGCCAGATATTGCACCTATGGTTAGCTCTGGAGCCATACGTTTTCTCTTGAAAATGATCATGGGTGGTAGAGTTTGACCGGCAGCACTGGCACAAACGACAACTGTGGTATTTACGCCCCTCTCACCACTTGCTATACCTCCAACTTGGTGCTTTCCTCTACGTGCAATTATTTTTTGATTCCGTTTTTGAACAGTTGAAAATCCACTTTCATCAACAAGTTGTTTGAGCCGTAAAACAGTTTTCATCAACACATCTTTCTAAGATATCAAAAAACTCATGGACGTTTTTTTGGTTGAATCCAGTTGCTCTAGCCATGGAGATTTTCTCTGGTTGCCTTAGTTCATAAAAGAATAATACCATCCTTTTCCCGCCATTTCTTTGTTGATGTTGAAGCGATGTGGAATATCATTCCGAACAGCTATTTGGAAAGCCAATCGTCTAACATCCCGAATTGTTACACCAAAAAATCTTTCTTCCAGCTTCAAAATATGTTTTGCCAATTCCATTTCAGTTTCAGGACTGAAGGTTGTGTGACGACCCAAAGACTTGACATTTTCATTTGCCTTTTTATTTAAAGAGCGCAAATGCCTTCTAAAAGTTGGCTTTGGAATGTTATAGCGCCTGCAGCATTCATTAAAACCACATTGGTTTTGTTTGTATGTATTAATTGCATGATCCATATCTTCTGAGGTCCATCCACAGTATTCCCGTTTTGTTTTTTTCTTATTATTTACTTTACTCATCTTCTTTTTTGAATTCCTGTAACAAAAACTTATGAAAAATGGAGCAAAAAGTCTCGGTTGGGTAAATCGTACCGGTACTATTTACAAAACTGTCGGTGGTACGATATACGACACAAGCACAATTTTACTTTTTTATATAAAATTTCAAACTAAACAAACGTATTTCCAATTGATAATTTCAGCAACAACTAACTACACGTCCATAAAATACGTGAATAATACATCTTAAAAGTATCTACTTACCAAATGTAAGAAAAAAGCTTATGAACCGGAGCAAAAAATAACATCAACAACACAGCTCTTAATTTAACCTCAAACTGACTGACAGGGTGAAGTGAGCGGCAATTATTAGCTTGGGCGGGAAAAATATAATCCTCAAAGCTTTTGGATTTTGCCAAGAGATGCCACGGGTAGTAAATAATTCTCTTGAAAACGGTGGTGGTACGATTTACCCGGCGGTACGCTTTATCCGACTTTACCCTATCGTCGCAATTGCTTTGTAAATCTTCGATTTTTTTTTGCATAATAGTACTCGAAAAGAACTCGTTTTAGCTGACATGCATGTTGGTCGGCACAAAATTGCGTCAAAGATTGCTTCAATGTTTTTTAACACAAATTGCAAAAAGTGATTTTTTTCGCTCCGCACGGGTATCACGTATCTTGAAAAGTTAATGTCGATTTTTTTTGACATTATGCTGTTTTTTTATATTATGTAGATTATTTTACAAGATGTTAACTGAGCACTTCGTTGTACGTGTTGCCTAAACGTCATGAGGCTTGTTACCAATCTGAGATGGCATTACAGGAGGTCTAAGCTGTAAGTCGTATGTGTTGATGATAATTACATTGGGTTCTTGTCTCAAATGCACTTAATTGAGATTCAAAGCTAGAAATTAGTTGCGCATCTACTTTTTCTCATCCATTCTGGAAATTACATATACAAATTTGCTGAATTTCAAAAATGAGAGATATAAGAAATAATTATATTCACTGTACTCTGTCGAATTACAAGCCATATACATACTAACAGTAATTTATTACATGCGGTGATGACTTCCCGTAATTCTCCTCAGTTTTTCGCAATTGATAATTTTAAACACAACCTCTCGTCAGAAAGCACAATATATAAATAACCCGTCATATTCGGCATATTCAGTAACGATTTTTTAACACAGCTAATATCACTGATTTTATACACATGCAGACCAATACACATAATCATCCAGATGCGATCTTGCTATTCAACCAAGTTTCTTTTCAGAGATAAAAACTACAGACCCGGATCACTCAGCATCACAAAACTATGCAACCAATAATGCGTAGTTTAGTTGAGTGATTCCTCCATAGATGGACGTTCACAACGCTCCTAGTGAGCAAACGTGGAATATTTGTTTGCGCCCTAAAAACTACCTAGTCTGCAAGTTGACATCATATAGGTTTTTTTTGACGTGTTATAGGTTTTTTACATGATACCCGTGCCGGTCAAAGTATTATTTAGGACGTTGTCAACAAAAATATGGGTTAGAACTTTTGCCTGAATTTTGATGTAAGTGATTTAATAATAGAAAAAGTGCCTGAATATGCCATCGTCAACTCTAAAAAACATAATGGAAACACAAAAATTTTAATTTCATCAATGTTCCTAAATATCCATTATCCATATCCACTGGATTTTAGGGGTTATTGTTTTTTAATTGTCAGACAAACTCTCAACGTATCTTCTGCGTGATTGCGAGAGAATTCTTTTACAATAGTAGTACCCCTTGCAGTACCTAAGGATTTAGTTATGGATGTTTTTTCTTGTTGTTTATCGGGACAGAAGATGGCATATTTTGTTACTTTTCGAAGTATTAAATTCCTTATCTTCCGAGAACTGTCAGCTAAAGAAACAAGTTCAAAAACACGTTCTTAATTCAGTGTCCTAGAAAACCCTAAAATACGGACCGGAGCAATAAAAACCAATTTTTGTAATTTGCTTAAAAACAGCTTTTTATGCAATTTTGGGCATTGTGTTCAAACTTGCCCTTTTTGAATAAGATTCTGCAAACATGTAAGGGAAACGGCGGCGGGCTACCATAATTTGATAGTTTGGAGCACCTCGGCTGATTACCTTTTTCCTTATATAGACTACAGCTGTTACCTGTTGAGCAGTTTCTAAAAACTATATTCAGAGTATCTATATGTGCAAAGAACGCATAGGGTCTTGAAGCACATAATCCAGATTAATTCAACTTTTTGTTATGTTTGGGTCGCAGTTTTCTTAAATATTATTTCGTCGAAGGGATTTTGTTTTCAAATAACCATTACACTTTTTTTAATATCTCATACATAAAAGGGCTGTTGATCATTAAATTGGCGAACGTCTAATATTCTTGGAGGCGCTAAAACTTATAAAAAAGTGGTGGCTTAAAATTTCCTGAAGGTGTATTACGTAATTTTCGATTAAATAGGATGTTCTACAGTTACGCTCAAAACGCCTCAAAAATGCTTATCATATAGCTGTCGAAGCTAAGTGGATTAATTAGCCGCCAAATTAGCAGCCCAGCCTCTTCACTAAACAGCGTCCTCATCATTCAACTAGCACCTAATACAGCATATAACGAACTAGCTGGAAGATGCTATGACCATTGACACAGTAGTGGGTAAATAGATGAAATAAATATCTTACATTCGAAATTGTTTCCTTCTATTAAATTTGGTGCTTCCTGGCTAATTTACATATGCGAAAACTACAAGTTCTGCAGAGTAGAACCCTCAGAACAATAACTAATGCCCCATGGTATGTATCAAACGATACCATCCATAGAGATCTTGACATCCCCTACCTTAGGGATTACATCATAGGTATGGCACACCGGCGCTACCAGCAAGCGAAATCGCACAGCAACCCCTTGTTGCGTGAAGCAATGGATTACACAGTCGAGGAGATACGCAAACATTCCAGGCCGCGTCTCACACTGTGAACAAAATTCATGTTTAGACCTTTAAAAATTATACTTTTTTAAAAACCAAAGACCCAAAATTCAGTTCAGAACAAGTCAAAAATTTGTATGGTACAATGTAACTGTTCTTAGATCTATTACACCTCAAATATTTACATAAAACAATTCCTTTTCCTTCTCTTCTCGCTCCTACTTCCTTCCTTTCTTTCTCCCTCTCGCCTTTCCCCTACAACTTGTCTGGGCTACCAGACCTGACAGGCTGATGACAGACACTGACACTACAGTGACTATGACCTAAAGGCTAAGGTCCTCCGGACCGCCTTGTGAAGCGACGACGAGTAGTAGTAGTAGGATTATTACACAAAAAACCTATATAATATCAAATAACAACCAACAAAATGTCAACTTGTTGACTACATAGCTGGTGTGCAAATAGTTCATTTCGCGCCTGCTACAAGTGAACGGCAGATATTTTCTAGGTGTAATCTTGTAGGAAAAACTTAAATAGAAAAACATATATAATGTCATAAAAAACGACATTAAGTCACTTTTCAAGTAACGTAATACCCCTGATGAAGGCCAACCTCAAATTGAGTTTGCTGATTTGGTTGCCTATTTTATTTTGAACTGAAGGTATACGAATAAAAACGCAAACCTCGTGATATAAACACATATTTCGTATTTCTATTTAGATTGATTGAAAGTGACCCTCCCTTTACCATTATTTTATTTGTTGCTGTAAACACAATATCCATCAGAGGTACTCCCTACGTATTGTTTTCATTAGCTTAAAAACATCCTGAAATATCCGCATCCCTAAAAGAAATTTTAACAATTCATTGAAATGCATCACGATTCATGGCCAAACTTAGTTGTTGTTTTTGATGAGTATCAAAAAAATACTACGATCACGCGAGCTTTTTAGAACTTAATAAAATACTTGGATGAACATTCCATATCCGCAGTTTTTAGTTTAACAAGCACTTGACAGACAGTGGTGGGTAGGCCAAATTGGCCAAGCCATAAATATTTTAAATTGGCAAATTGACGTTTTACGTTAGACAATCCACCTTAAGCAGAGACATTCTTTGACTTAGCTCAACTGTCTAAGTTCCTCTCAATATTCAAGCGTACTGGTGCAACCGGGGCATAAAGCATGTTAAGTGGAACTTAAACGACTAGATTAGGCAGGTAGTTAAATGTTAAATGTTATCGATCCCAGTCATCTCCTTAGCTGTTTGACTTAATTACTATAATACAAGCCACTAGCTGAACGGAAACGTTTAACGAGCATAGAGGTTGTTAATCGAATGACTAATTTTGTCTATTTAGCTAAAACATAGCGCTCCCGTAGCATTTTCCTTAATTGGGCTGTTTGAGAGTATCTAATGAAAAATGAACACAAGTTATGTGATAACCCTGCTCCATTATACAACAGAAGAAACTGATTTCAGTTGCTTCAATTTCATGGAATTTTATATGACTTATGGTAGAAGCTATAGTGTTTGTAAAACTGAAATTCACGCCAATAACGCTTCTCTAAAAAAGATACAATAATGGCGTCAAACATTGCGAGGCATGGAAGTAGCTCAAGTCCAAAATAAAACTACCAGATTAGCATTAATTTGAATATTTTCGCTCTAAGAACCAAGTAGCAAGCATCACGGACGAGTGAACTAGCTAACGACCATTACTGCTCTGTTAAATAGAGTTTTAAATGCCAGTCTGAAACTAGAAAGTACAGACTTACTTTAGGAAGGGCATTTTATAATAAAATAAGCTGCAGCATGAAATACCGCTATGTAATTCCTTAGGAACTAGAAAATAAGAATTACGGACATATTTTCTAATAAATTAATAGATGGAGAGGATACACAGAGAAAATCAAATTTGTCTAGCGGCTTGAGTTCAATGTGTACAGATATTAGAAAGAGACAGAAGCCGGTTGAAGAGCGAAATTCATCACTACATTGCCTAGCAATGGAGACGCAGAGGGTCGTGCAATCTGCCGCGTTGCCAATATGTTACACCAGATAATGTTCCCACAGGCTTGTACAATAGGTTAGGTTCCTGT